ATTTCCAAAAATGATGAGGATCATGACGCCAAAGAACTCGGCGACATATTCCCGGACGAGCTCTCTATTGCATTGTTAGATCTAAATCGCAAGCGACTGAGAACGCTCGACATACCGAACTCTGGACCACCGGTTCGGGTATCTTGTATAGTGCTCCATGGACGCAGACGAGACGAAGCTACCGTCTTTATGGGCGTGTTCTACATGTTCCGTGAATTCTTTTGAGGGGATGCGCTTTGTTGTCGTGTATTCAATGATGGAGGCACCCGAGGAGGTGGACATGGTGTACAGGCGGAGAACGAGGAAAGCCGGAGAGTGTGAGATAATCGAGCACTTGTTTATATAGGCAAGGACGTGCACACAGTAAAGTCCCTGAGATCAAGTCACTGTGGAAGATGTGAAGTTCCGCAAGGGCGTGAGCGTCTGCACTTTGTACGGCCGTTAGGGCCTATCGATCTCACTCACCTCGAACTGGGTCCGTCTGGTACCAAAAGATGAGACGAGAGGCCCCGTGGCTCGATGTCTTATGGACTTGGGAAGATGTTTGAAGCAAGCTTGGTATCTTGGAGCCTCCGTGCAGAAAGCTCCCCTCTCCCTCTCAGGGTCGGACCGCCGAGGGCAAAACTGTTGACCTCATTTTCATTTTCTTCTTCGCCCGTCCGTGAATGTCGCGTCATACGTTCATGTGTGCCGAAAGATCATTAATGCACCAAAACAGATTTGCGCCGAGCGACCGAGTCGTGGAGCGAGCAATGAGCGGCGCTGCTCTCGTTGCGGCCTATCGTATCACATGTGGTCATCATACTGATAGAAACAAGATGGTATTGTTAAACCACACCTGCATTTGGTATGCCCTATCAAGCGTCGTGAGACTCCAGAAAGGCTCCTGCTTTCTGGAGAGCGCTGCAAGTCGCAATGGTCAGTCATAAGACCGGCGGGTGATGAAACACTGGGCGACTACTCGCCAACGAAGCAAAGGTAGCATGTGGGCCGGTGGTGTTATGCCTCATCGCTAACTACCCACCGGCAAACGGAGCAAGCAAAGTGCTCAACTATCCGCAGTAGATAATCCATCGGCAGGGAATTCAAGCCTTACCAGGTAAGCCAGGTGCACTCGTGCTGCCTTCTTTCAGGGCTGGCCCTTGAGCTTGAACACGCAAAATCCTCGTGTCTCCACCATCTGGTCTTGGTTCGAGGGTCTCTCGTGAGACGTGCGGCGGCCGAAGAATCTTTCCGTGGCCGTGGCGGGCTGGCCTGGGCAGCTGCGCAACGGATCGTTCAGGGAAGAGACCGGAGAACCTTGACCTTACGCAGCACTGAGCCGGCGTAACTGATGAGCGTCTAACTACCACTTTACCTCTGACCAGCATTACCGCCGCCCCATCAATAACAACGCCGTTTTTTCCGCCATGTCTATGCTTGACAAGTTTCGACAGGGTGCCCAGAAGGCGGGCACACAAGCTTCTGCCTTCCTGAGGGATGCTTCGGGTAAAGCGGCCAGCGGGTCGCACAGTTTTGCACAAGGATTTACACTACCTGGAGAGGCAGAGAAGGCGGCAAAGATCTTGGCTAGTTTCCTTGGTGCGTTGTTCTTGGATCGTGCGGTTGCATAACATTGACGTCTTATCTGCAGCGGACCCAAGTCATCCTGAGTCTGCGCTCAACTCCATACCCAAGGCCGTTCTGCAGCGCGCGAGAGGTGTGTCCACAAGTTGTGTGGACTGGCAGACTTGTCTAACTGTGCTTTCCAGGCCTTGCTATATTCTCTGTCCTGAAGGCTGGGTTCATGTTCTCCGGCAAGGCGGGATCCGGCATAGTAATCGCCCGACTGCCCGATGGCTCGTGGTCCGCACCGTCCTGTATCGCTACCGGAGGTGTGGGCTGGGGTCTCCAGATCGGCGCCGACATCACCGACTTTGTCGTCGTGCTGAACAGCGAGGACGCCGTCAGAGCGTTCTCGATGGGTGGCAATGTCACTATCGGAGGGAACATCAGTGCTACGGCTGGACCAGTTGGAACCGGAGGCAGTGTACAGGCTTCGTTGGCCCACCCGGCTCCCATGTTCTCGTATTCCAAGTCGAAGGGTGCGTGCATCTTTCGTAATCGGGCTGCATTTACCGACGCTTTTTTTCGCAGGGTTGTTCGCGGGGCTGTCTCTGGAGGGTACCGCTCTCATTGAGCGCAAGGACGCAAATCGTGACTTCTATGGCTCTCCAGTGCCCGCACGCGAGATTCTCGGCGGTCGGGTGCCACCTCCCGAAGTCGCTTCAAGGCTGTACGAGGTCATCGAAGCGGCTGAAGGCATCGACGAGTCCGGCCTGCCGGAAAATGCCTACGTACCCACCGCATCTGGAGACCACGTGAAGCTGGGAAACGACGGTACGGTCTTTGATGCTGAAGGCCACCCCTGAACTGCGTCTTCAAGGCCCCTCCACCTCTACATCGGCTTACACCGCCCTCCTCTAATACTTCCACGACGCTCTATGCCCGCTTACGACTACTGCATACTTGTACTTGTTCATAGTGTCTCGATGCTGGAATAAATCTTGAAAAATGTAATTTTATCCACCAAGTATCTCTCACTTGTGTTTGTCGAAACATCGTCATTCGTCCTGGTAAGCCTGCCGCTCAGCATCGGGTTCGGATCCGTCCACCGGCCCGACCGCTTTGTGGCTGACGCGCAGGCGCTTTCGCGGCAACCGTACAGTCGGACGATGCATGCACAACTAGCATCCAGCTACTCGAATGTAGCAGGTTACGCCAGGACTTGCGTCAGACGGGCTTATTCACCAGAGAGAGTCGTACACAAGACTCAACCGTCGGAACTCTGTCTGCTGAAGATAGGCTCCGCTTTTCTCTACGAGCCTTGAACGCTGTCCTACCTGACGTCGTGCGAGCGTAGCGACGGCACGACGTGGTTGAGAGGCTATTACGCTAAACATAAGCTTTTCTGGTGAGTTATATTGTCTCCCAGAGCTCTGCGAAAACTGAGCACAACCTCTTGGCCAGCCAGATTCGCTGGCCGAGGAGATAATCCAAGCACCTAAAGTGATCTTCGCCCCTGACCGCAAAGTAAAAACGAGTCAGCAGTTGACTGAATGCGCTTCCTTTGCTTACAAAGTTCGAGTGCCGCCGGGGACTAGGTAGCGGCCCTCATGTGCTGTGCCGCTCGCCGTCTTGGTCGGCTAGGTCAACGATGGCGAAGCTATCTGAACCAGATAAAGTCTCGTGCAGCTTCTATGAAGCTAAGAAGATGGCGCGGACGCTATCTCCGTTCTGAGCCATTATTTATGTAGGTTGACATTCGATCTTCTGGCGGCATCTCTCACGAGTATTTGTGGCAGACGTCTCTTACTTTATCCGCCACCCAGCCTACAAAATTTCTCCTGCGCATAGACAAAAGGTTAAGGTTGACATTTTTGTTTTAGCTGCGCCCGAGGTCAGCAGGTACAGTACAAAACCGGCGTATACACCTCGACTTTTGCTCCGGCGCGCGATTGCGCGCACCAAGCGGGCGTCGCAAGAGCAGTATGACGTGAGCAATTTTCTGGAATGCTCCGGCCTGCGATGGCCATACGCTACCCTGCCTAGATTTCATGTGCCCCTTACCTACTAGATGGTGGATCGGCCTTCCCGGTTTCGGAAGAGAGCCGGCGTCGCTGTGTTCCGCGCGAGCGGGCCGCGGTCACCAAAGTGTGTCGTCTGAGGGAGCACGAGCCGTCTGCGGAGCCTTGCAAGGTGTCGTTCATCCACTGCTCCAAACTCTTTCTCCATGCCCTAATGAGCGTTACTCTCAAGGTCTTGTTTCGACCGATGCAAATTTCATCTCCATCTAATAGGATCCGAGCAGACGACCTACTAGGTACCGCTTTGCCGGGTCTTGGCTAGTGGGAATAATGCATAATGATTCAACCTGCCCCCTATACGCGTCAATATTAGAATAGGGGTCCCGCAGCGCGGTCAGGTGAGGACTCTAGATGTGAAAAGCTTGCCTTTTTTTCAACGATAAACGTTACAGCAGCATCGCGGAAGGAGATCTAGAGAAGCACCTGCCCCACGCTGGCCAGCATCGTCCGCTGTGGGGTGGCCGCTGCACGCTCAGCCGGCATTCTCGGAGTTGGGGATACCCAGCCAGGTGAGCCGTGGACGGCTCGCGGTGCACGATGTGCAATTTTGCCCCGCTTTCTACCAGCAAGAATAAGCCTCACGAGGCATTCGACGACGCCATCGTTGCCCGCGAGACTTTGTCGTAGGTGGAGGCGTAACGGGGTCGGCGGTACGGATATTCCTGTCTCACTTATTTGCGGTCTGACCCCACAGGCAGAGCTCAGGCGGCTCATCGATATTTTTCGGAAATGGAAAAGGACATGCCGGATTGCGACACAGGCAGTTTCAGAGATCACATGTGAGCTACGTTGTTCCTGTGCCGCGTGGCGCCGAAATTCCGATCTGCGCAAGTGGCGACCTGTGCTTCTCTCCGCATTTGGAAAGTGTTGTGCTTGGGCGTGTTCAGGCCCCTATAGCTGCCGGTCTGCGAGCGCCGGACTCAGTCAGCGCAATGCCCAGGAGTGACCATGTGCCCAGGCAGATACCTTTAGCCGGAGCGACGCTCGTACTCAGCTCGACGTTGTACACTGGCCAAGGCAGTGAGTCGGGGTGTCGTTGTCTTTTGCCGCAGCCTGCTCACCACTGGTAATGGAACTGTCGCTCACATAGTCCCAAATCTTCAGGCATCCATACGAAAATTCACAGGCTGCTCGTTCGTGTCGAATTACTTCTCAGTTTGCTTCCTTCCGCAGCCCAAATCTGGCGACTATCGCTGCAAGCGCGCGAGAACTGCTTTCCTAGCTCGCAGCTCATGGAGATCGCACGATTCCAGCCAAAGATCTTACCTCGTAGCGGTCAGAATATCTTTGATCTCGCCTTTTGCGTACAATTTTCAATACAGAGACATCCTCCGTAGTAGCCGGTGGTGAGTGAACGATTGTTCGTCCCTGAAATTTGTCTTTGACGCAACCAGACCACAGGGGTTCGTCGACCTAGAGCCTGTTCCGTCTCACAGCCGTCAGGAAATTCCCCGCACGATCGGACGAACGCGTGTCGGTGTGGGGGCGACGGAGCGGCCCCGCAATTGCTGTGCTCCGGGGGCACTTCCTAGTTTGCCACACTAGCATCCGTCTTTGGCTAGGAACTAGGATTGAATAGAGGATCGAAGCCAGCCAAGTCCATCCTCCGCCTCGATTACTGCTACAGGTACGCATGATCTCGAGAGCCGCGGAAAGTATAAAGGGACGCAGATCACCAAAGAGAGCTACCAGGGGTACTCGCTCTCCTTTCCTTTTCGCGAAACGATGTCCCAGCGCGACTCCTACCCATCGAAGCCCGAATACGGCAAGGATGATATCCGTCACATCGAGGAGATTCCAAACTCCGAGAAGGACACTGCTTCCTCCCCTGACCATGCATATGTGCACCCGACAGGTAATACAGGGCCAGCTGGTCGCTGGGGAAGGTTCAGGTGCGCCGCCTTCTCCTCCGGACCTTGAAATTTTCTCATCACTAGCCACAGGCAATACTTCCAGGAGCCTGCCATCCCGGCAGGCCAGTTTATCACTCGCTATCCGAACAGATGGTCCCGCTACCGGTACGGCGATTGCCCGTTTACTCTTGACATCTCATCGCTGACCCTTCGTACAGAGAGATCATTCGCGAACCCGCGGCTGAATTCCTGGGCACCTTCGTGCTCATGATTTTCGGTCTTGGCAACAATTGTCAGGTCACCCTCAGCGCCAACACGGGTGTGGCGTCCAGCCCTAAGGGTGCGTACATCTCGACCACCTTGGGATGGGCAGCCGGTCAGTAACTTCTTGCCTCGTCCAAACCGGCTTTACTGACACCTGGTTCAGCGGTCGCCTGTGGTGTCTGGGTTGCCGGTGGTATTTCCGGTGGTCACATCAACCCAGCCGTCACCATTGCCTTCGCAACGTGGCGCGACTTCCCGTGGTGGAAGGTTCCCGTGTTTGTCTTCGCGCAATTCCTCGGTGCTTTCGTCGCGGCAGCTATCATCTACGGCAACTATCTAGGCGCCATCGACATTGTCGAGGGCGGCGGCGGCAGGACGATCGCTAACACAGCTGGTTTATTTGCTACATACCCAGTGAGCAGCTTGCCTCATGTTCCGTTCTGCATGACGCTGAGTCAGCTTGCAGCTACCCTACATGACCAACATCCGGTGCTTCTTTGACGAGTTCCTGGGCACAGCGATGCTGCTCATTGTGGTCTGCGCTGTAACAGACAACAACAACGGCCCCCCGCCCCCTGGCCTGGTCCCTCTCTGTCTATTCTTTGCCCTGGTCGCCATCGGTTCTGCTATCGGCATGCAGACCGGTACGTTTCAGACGCTTTCGTGCCCTACATATCCCTCACAAGCTCCCCTTAGGTTATGCCATCAACCCCGCGCGTGACTTCGGCCCTCGAGTCTTCACCTCTATGGCTGGCTACGGCAGCGCGGTATACAGCTTCAGAGACCACTACTGGATCTGGTGTCCCATCATTGCCCCAATCTGTGGTGCCGTCGGTAAGATAGTCCATGCTTCTGTTGGGAGCCGTTCCTCATTAATTGCCTGCAGTTGGAGTCTTCTTCTACGACATGCTTCTGTACTTGGGTAGCGAGTCCATCCTCAATCGTCCCGACAAGCGCGCCAGACGTGTTCACGCTCATGCTATGGCAGCCGAGCGCACGAAGCCGGGCATCACCGGTCCAGAGCTCGTCTAAGGCCACATGCCGCGTCTGTACCTCGGGAAAACGAGCGACATATCTGTTTCCGTTTTTTCTTTGTCTCAGTCTACGTTCCTTCGGTGTTACAAGAGTAGTGTTATCTGTGTGTGCGAATGTATGACCTTTCGTTTCCCGAGCAGTCCGCAAGCGATGTGCGGATGTGATAGACTTTTCGCTTTAGGCGCCCGAGCTGTGGGCTCAATCTTCGACATCAACGGCATGCCTGCTCCACGTCCACGTACCAAGCACTTGGCTATATGGACTGGCTTCAGCTTCGTGGGTTTCTCCGAGGCCAGGGTCATCAATATATTGCCAGAGCTTGGCTGACCATCGTTTGCGAGCAGAATTCGAGTTCGATATTATCCGCTGCCAGCGTCAGCAACAGGTTATATGGTAAGTCCGTCGCTGGCGGGACTATACTTGTATTGGCTTATTTACTTCGACTGCGTCTCCAGAGATCCGTTCTGAGACGTGACGTCTCGGATATGTTGTTAACCACAGCACCTTCCGTTCTCGACCTCGGCAAGACCTGCAATCGCCCCGACTCCGTGTGTCACTCAGGCGCCCGTCATATTGCTCTCGCAAGGACGCGGTACGGGAGCTGTGAATCGTACAGGTACGCCCACAACCTTGTTCCCATGTTTACGATCGTTTCCCCAGGTCACGCTTGCGTTAGACGGACCTTCGTCATTGTTCACCCCAGCTGACCCCTGCGACAAGCGTACGCCCCGGCGCCGCGCATGCGATAACATGGCCCGTGTCTGTGCCTGGCTGCGAGCACTGGGCAGAGCCTGGCAGGGCCCATTCTACTGCTTCATACGTGCCGTACAAAGACGAGTATCTGCACCGATTGAGACGCGCTGAGCGACGGTGGGTTGATTGCCAGCACTTTTGATCCATGAGTTTACCGGGACGAAAATCGGGGGATGCATCGAGCTACACGGCTGCGATCGTAGTTCCGGTAGGAGTATTCTGGCTTGCTCTGCGTTTCATGCTCACAGAGACATACCGAATCAGGCACATTTCACGCGGTATGCTCCTTCCCCGCACGGCGGGCACAAACAGGGCTGGGGCCCCGCACTTGCAGTGCCGAGGAGCCCCCCTGCTCCCTTCCTGCTTTGGGAGGTTTTCATCCTCATTTAGTACCGAGCGAGGCCATCCACCCTCGATCGCACGAGTGACCTCGAGAATTATTCGCCAACCTCGTGGTCCGTTGCATGCGCAGGGAAAGGCTATTTAAATGGCTGAGATCCCCCCCAGCACAGATCCCGGCACCCCACGCACCCTCCCTCACCATGTCACAGAGCTACTCCAATCAGACCGGTAGCGATGATTACAGCAAAGAGGATGTGAAGCACATCGAACAGGTGCCGTCCGCCAACAACGAACGCACCGTGTCCGAGGCTGCCTACGTCCATCCGACGCGCACCGAACAGTCCGGTCGCTGGGGCAGGTTCACGTATGTCCTTCGTCGTTGACGCTATTCTTTGTGATGCTGAGTATCGCTGCAGGCAATACTTCCAGGAGCCTCCCATCCCTGCGGGCGAGTTCATCACCAAGTACCCGAATCGGTGGTCGCGATTCCGGTATGGCATTCCAGCCGTCTGTGTTATCGTCTCTCTTGACAAAGTTATAGGGAGATCATTCGTCAGCCTGCGGCCGAGTTCCTGGGCACCATGGTGCTCGTTACTCTCGGTGTCGGAAACAACTGTCAAGTCACCCTCGGTTCGAACCCGGCCATCGCTCCCGTGGCCAAGGGGGCATACATCTCAACCACCATGGGTTGGGCAGCTTGTAAGGCACATCTCTCGCCGGCAATTTTTATGTCGTGTTGACCGATGTGTCCAGCTACGGCGGTCGGTGTCTGGGTCTCGGGTGGTATCTCCGGCGGGCACATCAACCCTGCAGTCACCATCGCCTTTGCCACCATGCGCGACTTCCCGTGGAGGAAGGTCGGCCCGTACGTGCTCGCTCAGTTCCTTGGCGCTTTCTGCGGTGCGGCTTTCGTCTACGGCAACTATCTGGGTGCCATCGACATCCAAGAAGGTGGGGGCGCACGTACAACTCCCGGAACGGCCAGCTTGTTCGCCACATACCCTGTGAGTATTTATTCCACACTGCGCATTGTCGCCTGCCTGACCTGTTTCAGCTGGACTATATGACCAACATCCGGTGCTTCTTCGACGAGTTCCTGGGCACAGCGATGCTGCTCATTGTGGTATGTGCCGTCACGGACAACAACAACGGACCTCCACCTCCCGGTTTGGTGCCGCTTGTCTTGTTCATCTTGCTAATCGCCATCGGGTCTGCATTCGGAATGCAAACTGGTAGGTTATGTTCACCATCTTCTGGAGGACGTTCATTGAATACGTGGATCAGGTTATGCCATCAATCCCGCTCGTGACTTCGGTCCAAGAACATTCACCGCGATGGCTGGATACGGGCGTGAAGGTCTGTCTCGCAACATGTTTAGTACCACTGTTCGTGACACTGACCTGGCCCCGCTCTCAGTGTACAACTTTAAGAACCAGTACTGGTTATGGTGTCCTATTATCGGGCCAATCTGCGGTGGCATTGGTGAGTACTTGATACACGATTACGTCCAACGTCGCTTATGTCCTCCTGCCAGTCGGTGTCCTTGCTTACGACCTCCTCATCTACGTGGGCAGCGAGTCCGTTCTCAACAGGCCAGACAAGCGGGCTCGCCGCGTTCACGCACATGCAATGGCCGCGGAGAGGTCGAAGCCAGGCGTGGCTGGACCAGAGCTCGTCTGAGCAAATGGACGTTGGGAGAGCTGGTACACACTGTATGCGAACTCTGGAATTTCATTCATAGCCTTGGTGGGCTTGAATCATGTTGTGACGCCCATCTACGACTATCTCTCGTACTGTACAAATTAATGAAATGGCTTCATACCAATTGAGCATGTCTTCTAGAGTTGTGAACGAAGGGCGTGAGGGATGGTAAGACGGCGAAGGCATAGGTCCCTTGGGTTGCCGAACTACATGGACATTGAATGAGTAAAGGTGCCCAGAAGAACAAGAAACATATGGTTCACAAGGACGCAGCAGGTACTGCTGATACCATTCACCAAGGTCGTAGATCACGGCATTGGAATCGCGTGACGAGTCTGAGCGGACTTCCTTTGAGACATGTGAAACGGCACCGTCTCCCAGCGTCGTCCTGAAGTCATGGAGAGCGATCATGAGGAAGCCGACGACCCTGGCAAGCCTCGTTTGCTCTTCATTTCCTACAGCAGCACGCTCGGCAGCCAGGACTAGATTATAGGCACTCCGAAGATTGTTGTCAGGAGAATGGTCGATGTTCGTCTCGCGGATCGGCGGTAACGGCGACGACGGCATCTTGTGTGAATGAACAGAGTTCTTGCTGGGAGTGTTCTTGCCAAGTTCTCGCTCGGAGAGCAGTGGATTTTGGGCGCCAGAATATCTGGACGCGGGATAGGCGCGCGTCATCGTTCGACATCAGTGGTGCTTGACGGCGGGAATGAGCCACCCGACACATTCCTCTTTTGGCAAGACCTGTGTTCATACGCAGAGGGCCTCCCCACAGAGAGCTTCACGGATGCACGGTTATGTGATGCTCTGGATGGTCCTGGCAGGGATTACAGGTCGACCAAGAAGCGTGTGCGTTCCGTGCTGGTCTTTTGGAGTAATGTATATGCCTACGAGTTTGGTTCAGGCCCTGGCCCGCGACGGCTTTCGCTGCATGCTCAGCGGCGAGTACGACCTCAATTCCGCCAAGCGCAATCCCGCAATTCGTTCAGACACCAGTTATGGGAGGGCACACACGAATTGTTGCCACATCTTATCTGAGTCCACGTTGCAAGATGCCGACCCTGACAACCTGTACCACGATAGCAAGGTGCAATTTCTTGCTCTGGCTAAAGAGTCCGGTGGCTGACTCACAGCAGAGGAGCTATGCAGCAACCGTTCTCGCAGTCCTCGAATCGTTCGGGCTGAAGTCAATTGTGGCGGAAGTCACGAGGCAGAACGGCATACACCATCTATCCAACGTCCTCACAATGATCACCCAGTTTCACCAACTCTTCGACAGCTTGCACCTTTGGCTTGAGGCTACAAACACACCGAGTGAGGTATCTGCATTCTCCTCTGCGGTCTACTTTTGCTGACGTTTCAAAGTACAAGATATGTGTGGCTGACGAGGGCGACCTCTCGCTGTACGCCCTAAAGACGCGAACGGTCCGCTTTGAAGTCCATGTCCCGGGTCGAGATGATCTTCCTCTGCCTGACCCTCGACTACTTGCTGTTCATGCAGCGTGCGCACGTGTCGTTCATATGTCCGGAGCTGCTGAGTATATGGACAAGTGCGATAGGGATGCCGAGGACATGCAGGTTCTTGCAGAGGACGGCTCATCAAGTGCAGTCCTTCTCGAGCAACTCCAAAGAATTGCTATTTTGGCGTCGTAGGGCGCAACATGTTGTGCAATACTTGTTCTGACCTTGCGCCGGATTATACCGCTTTCAAGTGTATGGTGTCTTGTGGTGTGTCGTTTTACTGCAGAGATGTATTGTAGCTATTCGAAGTGCCCAATCCCGATGTACTGTTAACCATCTGCATCTCCCATTATCACTTACGACTCATTGTCCAAGAGCCAAATGAGCTCCTCGCCCTGCATGCTCGGACCGACCTTGATCCCAGTTGGATTCCTGATCCCACGGAAGTACTCGATGTGCGCTCCGTTCAGCTGTCGCGTGCGGTCTCCGATCCAGAGGAAGTGCGCCGACATATTGTAGAACGCCGTCGGCCTCGGGCCCTCACTCTCCGGTTTGCTCGAATCTGGGAGCGTGAACGCATGCGTCATCGCCCCCTCGAAGTTGAGCATCAGGCCCTCGCGGCTGCATGTCCATCAGCAGTGTATAGATATGGCGCAAGACGTGAGCCGCACCTGGTGTAGAAATCGACCTCGCCAAGCATGCTTCGGCTGCCGCCCTTCTCGTATAGCGTGCTCTCCCAGCCAAGGCCAATGGTGCGCGTGAAGCCGAGCGCGTCCTGCAGGCTTTCCGTGATGCGCTCGAACTCTTTGCGCAGCCCCGGCGAGCTCACGTGCGAGAGCGACCAGTCACGCGGGTGGTGCAAAGACGCAAAGCCCGAGCTCAGCAGGCCACGGATGTAGTTGAGCGTTGTCGTAGAGTGGAAGTAGGCGCTGTATCAAAGGCTATTAGAATGTGCAACGGCGTTTCAGATATCACTGACCTCAGCATGCGTTTCGCGTCAGGCGTACGGTCATCCGGCGAAAGGCTGGAGAAGCGTTAATAGACTTCGAACCACTGACAGTGGTGACTCACCCGTTGGCGTTGTCGCCGCTATGATATGCCCTCAGCTCCTGAAACAAAGAGGCATGAAGCGCTGGCAACTGTACCGGAAACTGAGGACTTCACGATCGCTGATCTTCTCTATCGCGCTGCTGCGCGGTTCGGCGTACCGGCCAGCCACATGGCCTATCCGGACCTACGCACAAGCAATGGGATCCACGGCACACCACCGGTAAAAGGCTGGAACCAGTGACAGCTGGTAGTCGGGCACCCCAGATGAGGATGAGCGAGACAGAGAGGATGAGTCCGATCTTGTTGGAGATATTTTCCTGGTGACGAGGTTGCGCAAGCTTGTTCATTGAGATGTGACAAGAAAACGTACGTGTGTGCAAGCATCAAAGCTCTCGGCGCAGTCATCCGCATGTAAGAGGAAAGCTTCATTGCGTTGGACCATGACTGAGTTGATACCGAAGTCGTTCGATCTGGCTCCGAATGAGCTCCAGGCAGATGAGTATGGCACTAAATCACGCACATCAGAGGGGGTTACAAGAGGCGGCAGCTGTTTTATCTTCGCCAATACTCTGTTTAAATAATATTCTATTCAATAAAATATGCCCGACGACACAAAGAAACCGTATATTACTTCCGGTGCAGCGGAGCTGCTAGTGATTCTGCGCCGGACTTCGGTTTTGGTGCGCAGGGGCATATCTGTATCGAGAAAACATTGGAAAACAATCTGAGAAGTGTCAGAGCATCAGAGACGCGGAGCTACTCGTGCTCTGATTGAGACTCGAGAGTGGTAACGGCGCACCGGTTGTCCTGCGCAGCAGTAGCAACGTAGCTACATGGCAGCCCATTGTTTGGAGCCCGTAAGGCATTGTGCACCTAACCCACATGCTCTACGAGCACTTCCTTCTTGACCTATACAGAATGCCCAGGTCTTGATGAGGGTGTCGCTCCATGCTTGCGGGGTTCCTCGCACCCCGCGCAGCCTGCCCGTCCACTGGCTGCAGCGCCACGAACAAGTCCAGCTGCCCAACCGGAGTCCACGAGATGTTGTTATTGTCGGTAATGTGTCACATGAACATTGGTGTCCCACCGGCTATTGTCTGTGGTGAGACCTAAAAGCCGAGACTACTGTGAATCTTATTAACAGCACGCTTCGAGCTGTCAGAGGCTGGATTACGCACCTAGATGTCATGGTTCCGCGTCCTCTTCCTCCTCTCCATACTGCTCTTGCCAGGTGAGGACCTTGCCGCCGCACGCACGCGACAGCGCGGTCAGACAATGCGAGCCGCTGACTGAAGTGCCGCAGTCTCTCTCAAGATAGCCACCCACAAAATTCATTAATCCGCCCATTGGATGACATGACTGATGTCGAAAGGGCATTCGTTGATGAAGAGGAAGACGCCCAACCGAGATTCACCAGTGGTCGGAAACCGTACTTCGATTTTTCGAAGTCCGACATGGGTTTCGCCCGGAGCCTTCCGGGCGTACCAGAATGGCTCGAGGCTACCACTGAGTACTGATGCCGAACGAGGGCGCGCGCCTATCCTGCGTCCTGATACTTGGAGTCGAGTTCGTTCTTAGACACCCCCTACGCCCTCGACACTGTATCCAATCCCCCAACGACCACCGACGACTTGTACGTTATGAAGGACGCACAAGGCCGATCGCTCTCCCCGGATGAGTCGGACACCTCGGACGAGCGGAAAGGGTTGCTTGCGGAGGAAGGCGAAGACGACTTGGACTCGGTCCTTCATCAGACCCCGAACCGCCGCAGAAGACGATGCTGCTCAGTCGTACTCATCGCGCTCATTCTCGGCGCTGTCTTTGGGCTCCCCATGCTCTATGTCGGACTCAAGACATCCAGGCCCGTCGCCGACTTCGACAACCAGAAGTTGCGGAGTAATGGGACGCACCAATTCAAGAAGACTGCTCTCATTGTATCTATTGACGGTCTTCGGTGCGTACGTAACGTACTTCGCCGTGAATGAGTAGTGCTTATGCCGGCTGCAGAGCGGACTATCTCGACAGAGGATTAACCCCGCATCTGTTGGCTATTAGCAAGAAGGGCCTCCGTGCGAAGTCAATGAGACCTGTGTTCCCAGTATGTCTTACCAGTTTGTCTTGCTATTGCTGAACTAATCTCTTACACAGACTCTGACGTTCCCGTAAGTGCCCATACACGCAAGTCCAGGCGCAATACTGACAATGTCATTGTCGCCCAGTAATCATTGGGCCTTAATGTAGGCTATAGCTAACTGTCCCAGAAACATATACTAACGATGTCTAGGACCGGCCTCTATGCAGAGTCCCATGGAATTGTTGCTAATGTATGAGCGCTCGCATGGAGTTGGTCCGCACGCTAACATTCGCTGCAGAACTTCTGGGACCCGCAAAGCCGTTCAGAGTTCCATTATAACCGCGTAGAGTCTTGCTGGAACTCTTCGTGGTGGTTCGGCGAGCCAGTACGTGTTTGTTGTTCTCTTAATGGGTATTCAATATTAATATCCTTTGCAGATGTGGGAGACTGCAGAAAATGCCGGCCTTCTCACTGCGAACCTTATGTGGTTGGTGCAGTTCTCGCATCGAGCTATACATGCAGCTTACATTAGCGCAGGCCCGGTCCCCCTGTGACCAGCAGAGGAGTGGAGTCAACGTACTTCGTACCGTGGAAGGTGCCAAATGCTGCCAAGTTGTCATGTTTGCTCTGACTAACCTTAAATTCTGTAGGATAAAGTACCGCTGAAGGAGAAGCATGACCAGATTATGGAGTGGATTGATCTTCCGTTGGAGAAACGTCCTCAGCTGATTATGGGTAAGCTGAATCATCAGTATCACTGCAGTAGTTTTCTGACCTCAAATATATATCAGCCTACGAGCCTTCTCTCGATCAAGCTGGCCACTTGGCGGGTCCCAAATCCGATCTTGTAGACGTACGCCCATTACATGCCGTTAGCTGTGGGTGCCAGCTGACAATAATGCACCTAGCGAGTTCTCAAACAGGTCGACGTATTCGCGAAAGATATTCACGATTCCCTAGAAGCACGGAATCTGACAGATATCATCGATGTCGTCTTTGTCAGTGATCACGGCATGACGGACACGAGTCACCCAGAGTTTATCTACATCGACGACGTCCTAGGCGACGGATTCGATGAGCTTGAGCACGTCGATGGTGAGTTACCTTCGTGGGTCTCGCTCTTCCGGAGTGCTGATGTTCTTCCTAGGCTGGCCCGCAATGGGCCTTCGGTTCTCGCCGAAGGCAGATTCTGCCCACTACCTCAACATCCTGTCGGAAGCTGCTGCTGCTAGTGGCGGCAAGTTCGACGTCTTCACGCACGAGACGATGCCCACGCGTTTCCACTTCTCCGGTAACTCACGCATTGCCCCTATTTACATCGTCCCAAGGATCGGTTACGTTGTCACTGACCACGTTGAGAACGGCACGGGGTTGAACAAGGGGGTAAGTTCCTGGTTCTGTGGCCTTGTCACGTATGCGACTGACGCTCCCGCCGCAGAGTCACGGCTACGACAACGCGCAAGCATCGATGCACGCCATGTTCGTGGCGCACGGCCCCTTCTCGTCCGTCGTGAAGGCGATCCAGCAGAGCGATGAGAGCCGGCTCTTCAAGCGGCTGCTCTCGCGCCCCAACAAGGGCTGGCATTCGACGTCGAACGACACGTACGTGATGGACACGTTCCAGAACGTCGAGGTCTACAACCTCATGGTGAAGCTCCTCGGCATCGAGGACTATGCGGCGTCGACGAATGGAACGGCGGGCTTCTGGGACAAGTTCTTCTAAGCGGCTCAGAGTTCGACATGTTATGATACTCTTACGGGATCTGCTTCTACGTTAATCTTGGATTGTGTAATATAGACTGTGCTTTGTTACATCAGGGGTCGTATATGTTAATTCGAATTCTTAGTCCAAGCCGAGTTCTCAGTGTGACACGATGCACACAGTTATTACCTACTGTGCTGTCGGGAAATTGTCAATCACGAACTTCAGTTGCAAGGCATCATGTTATGCGCAAAGCTCCACGCCACCTTTCTTTTCCGGCCGCTTATTGTCGTTTGTTAGACTCTGTGAGACTGCAGTTTTGCCTGCTTTGTTTGGCTGCCCTTGTCCGTACTCTTCTCGACCACAGTGAACCTCTACTAGCACTCCCTCGTGACCACTCAGACCCCTCGTGGTGACAGCAACCATTAGGTCAGCTCGTCCGCGTCAGGCCGCGCGCGCACTACAGCCCTCCAGTTTGTGAAGAACACGTGGAACAAAAGAATGTGAGATGCAGCTCGCTCCCGCCTGCCACAAACCCCCAATGGTAAACTCTTTCGCGCCGTCCAGTCTAAGCACGACCGTTTGTGTGAGCTCGTGACGAGCGACATCATAGCCCGGGGTGCTGTAAGATTTAGGATGCAATACAGATACTATATATTGCAGATGCAATGGCCGTGGCCACTCCATAGCGGGTCTCCCATGTGACGACATTTCCACATGCCGTTCGACGCAACGGCTCTCAGGCTCCCTGCTGTCCCTTGTCACCAATTCAGCCATATCTCATTAGGGATGTCTGCTGTGAGGAATGTATCGAGGGTGTCGCTTGTAATTCAGGATGTCTGTCGTACGTATGAGCTGTGATCCGCTTGACTGAGTGACTAAAGCAGTGCGACAGGCAAATCTTCGGAAACTGCTACGAGCCGTACAGCCTGAAGGCAACTAGACCCTGATTCTCCCACAAGAAGCGTCACCGGTAAAAGCACATACTGAACAGAGATCTATGCGCACCATTGGCGTCGTCATCTCGAATCGGCTTTCGTTACCCTATGGCCACTGGCAGATGCGATCACGAACAGGATACACCTTACACGTCACATATAAACCACAGCATCTGACTGACCCCCAGCCTGCAACCCCCTTGCACCCGACGAAATGACCTTGGATACTGCATCTCTTCCACTGATCCCCTGGCAATCGG